TGAGGCCCTGGGTTCGATTCCTCAGCACCACATAAGCAAAAAGAAAAAAGCTGGAAGTGGCGCTGTGGCTCAAGTGGTAGATTGCTAGCCTTGAGCTGAAGAGCTGAGGGACAGTGCTCAGGCCCAGAGTTCAGGCCCCACAACCGGATACCCCCCCCAAAAAAAAAAAGAAGCTCAGGAACAGTGCCCAGCCCCTGAGTTCAAGCCCTAGGACTGACAAAAAAGAAAGAAAAGTAAGTCAATTCAATTCTACTATGTGCTATGAAAATCTTCCCCTGGCCAGCAAGGTACAGATTTGAACCTTATTATATAGATTAGCAGAGCTGAATGGTTCTAAGCAAAAGCTCACTTTGAGTTTACAGGCTGAGAAAGTCTGACAGGATCCATCCAGCACCTTCTTCCAAGGGCAGCAGAAGGCAGAAATTTGAAATGAGGTATCACAGGATTCCTAGCTGAACCTCCAAGGCCCTCTCTGCTTGGAGAAAAAAGGAGGTGACTGAAGAGAGGAGGATATGAGCTTGGTTCTCTGCCCGGCCCTTTCTTTGCCTGTTTTCCTTACACCCACCCTCTCCCCCACAGCAGACTTCTCCCCCACAGACATTAGAATAGGACAGAAGGGGCGGAGTTGGCGTTGGGGACTGAGGGCTTGGGAGCCCCACAGTGCCCTGTATCTGTGAGAAGCGTTGGTAGGGGCAGCTGGGCAGGTTTATGCTGCCCTTCTTGTGCTGCTACCCTACAGCAGGATGTTGGGAACACTGGGGCTTTGGGCCTTGCTTCCTGCAGCTGCACAAGGTAAGTGTCTACAGAGAGGAGCAGGGCCTTTCCACTCACCCAGCGAAGGAAAAGGGCTTAGGAAGCGAGATGAGCAGGCTGGCTGAGAGTGAGGTTGAAGGGTAGAGCTAAGGGTAGAGCTATGTCCCCATGGGGGGGGGGGGGGGGAGTCACATCCTAAACCTCTGTCCATCTGGTTTTCCTCTGTCTCTGCTCTACTGAGCCAAGGATAGGAAAATCATGTTTGGTCTATTCACTTGGCTACTGTTTTGCTTCTGCATTAACTTTGCTCTTGAATCTTTCTCTTCCCCCATCCTTGGTCTCAGCACCTCCAAACAGGCGGACCTGTGTATTCTTTGAAGCCCCTGGAGTGCAAGGAAGTGCAAAAATGCTGGGGGAACTGCTAGATGAAGGACCAGGGCCCCCCAGGGGTATCCGCTGCCTCTTTAGCCACTGCTGCTTTGGAATCTGGAACCTGACCCAAGGCCGGGCACAGGTGGAGATGCAAGGTGAATGGCAAAGTCGATGGCAGGTGATCCCTAAGATGGGACACAGACACATCCTAGGGGGTGGGAGGTTGCCAAGAGGTAAGGGAAGAAATGGAATTTGTAGAAAGAATATGTGGTGCCTTTGCTAGAGAAGAAAGTTATCCTCTCCTTCCTCAAGCTCCATTGTGGTCTCACCTTTGCTTTCCCTTTTTCTCCTTTTCCCCTAATCTCATCAGGATGCCAAGATAGTGATGAGGCAGGCTGTGTGTCCTTCCATTGTGACCCCAGCCCCCGTGCCCAGCCTAGCTCTGGTTCCACTCTCTTCACCTGCTCCTGTGGCACTGATTTCTGCAATGCCAACTACAGTCATCTGCCTCTTCCAGAGAGCCTGGGGGCTGCTGGCCCTGAGGGGCCCCAGGCTGTACCAGGTAGCCACCCTCTGGGGATACTGGAGTCTAGTGGGGGATGGGGCCCAGGTTATGAGAAGAGGTAGAATTGGGGCCAGTTCTCACCCTGCCTCCGCCTCAAGCTTTCCTCTGCCTGGCCTTGGGAAGCTGGTTTCCCTGGTGACCAGGAGATAAGGGGGCTTGTGATCAGGATGGGGGTGGGTTGAAAAGCAAGTTTTCCATGGAGGGGAGAGGTTCAGAGAGCAATTTGGGGCAAGGCTCACCTGTTGCTACCATTTTTTTTTTTGCCTTGATGTCTAGGTGAGTCCATTTGGATAGCACTGGTGCTGCTGGCGCTGTTCCTCTTGCTGACACTGGGCAGCATTATTCTTGGTACTAACCTCCTCCATCCCTCCCTTTATCAAGACCCAAAGCTCTGATCCCTTCTCCAGGCACCCCTGATCTGGTCCTAGGATCTCTATAGCCTTGCATTACTTTGTTCAAAGTTCTCTTCCCACAAAGTCCCCTGCCCTGTCTCCATGCCTGAGTACCCTGACCCTTAAGTTCTTCTTTACCGTAGTGCTGCTACAGCGAAAAGCCTGCAGAGCGCACGGGAGGCCAGTGCCAGAGCCAGATTCAGACAGAGACTGGAATGAGCAGTTGCCAGAGCTGCGGGAGCTGTGCTTTTCCCAGGTGCCCCAGGGAGGGAACAAGGGAGGGGATCCTCTGGGCATTCCTGGAGGTTCTGCTGAGGAGGAAACCTGGCCTTGGTGCACTTAGAGACTGGCACCCAGCACAGTGTTCCCACCAGGTAATCCGGGAAGGAGGTCATTCAGTGGTGTGGGCTGGGAAGCTCCAAGGTGAATTGGTAGCCATCAAGGCCTTCCCCCCAAGGGCTATGGCCCAGTTCCAAGCTGAGAAAACGGTGTACGAGCTACCAGGTCTCCGACATGACCACATTGTGCGCTTCATCACTGCTGGCCAGGGAGGTCCTGGCTCCCTGTCCTCTGGGCCATTGCTGGTACTGGAACTGTACCCCAAGGTAGGACTAAGGAATATATGAATGTAAATGTGTACTATGTTTGTGTGGTGACAGAGGTGGAGGGACTGCATGCCTTTGGGACCCTACCCACAACTTTTCTGTTTTAGATTTTTCTGCTGCTAGCTGGTATTCTGCCACTTGCCACACCTTTGGTTCTAGATTTTTCATTGTGTGTGTGTGTGTGTAAGTCCTGAAGCTTGAACTCAGGGCCTGGCCACGGTATTTTAGCTTTTTTTGCTCAAAGCTAGTGCTTTACCACTTGAGCCATTACTCTACTTTTTTTGTGTGTGTGGTTAATTGGAGATAAGAGTCTCATGGACTTTCCTTGCTTAGGCTGGCTTCAAACCGTGATCCTCCGATTTTAGTCTTCTGGGTAGCTAGGATTACAGGTGTGAGCCATTGGTACCTTGCTGGTGCTGCTACTGCTGCTGCTGCTGCTTCTCCTTCTCCTCCTTTTCCTTCCTCCTCCTCTAGGAGCTTCATGAGTGCTAGGCAAGCACTCTACCCATGAACTACACCTCCAGTTATAGTTATTTATTTATTTATTTTTGGAGATGAGGTCTCACCATAAGCCCAGGCTAAGCCCTGAACTCCTGAGTTCAAAGTGATCCTCCTGCTGCTACCTCTCAACTAGCTGGAGCAATGTTAAATAATTAATTAATTAATTAATATTTTTGGTGGGTTGTGGATCCTGAACTCTGGGCCTGGGCATTGTCCCTCAGCTCTTCAACTCAAGACTAGTGCTCTACCACTTGAGCCACAGCGCCACTTCTGGCTTTTTCTGCTTATGTGGTGCTGAGGAATCAAACCCAGGACCTCATGCATACAAGACAAGCACTCTACTAATGAGCCACCTTCCCAGCCCCTAATTTATTTATTGCCAGTACTTCTGCCTGTATTTTGTACCTGGACCTTGCTATCATTCTGCCTCAGCCTCCTGAGCGCTAAGATGTGTGTCATCTCTTCTGGCTGGAGTTACTGTTTTTTCCATCACTTTGACTGATGTACACTCTCACTCTTCTTCTGCCTTTTGTTTCAGCCTGTATCTATCAGGATGTCTGCTGAGAAGTTGTGGGGGAAAGTCTGCAAATCATTTGTACTCTAGGATGATCAAACAGCTTCAGTGTTATTTTCTTCTCTTCTCTCTGCTTCTCCCCAGGGCTCCTTGTGTCACTACTTGACCCAGCACACAAGTGACTGGGGAAGCTCCCTGCGGATGGCACGATCCCTGGCTCAGGGCTTGGCATTTCTCCATGAAGAGCGCTGGCAAAATGGTAAGTGAGCTGCTTTCAGGGAATCAGGAAAATCAAGAGACACATAGCCATGTGTTGGATTCTTCTTTAGCTTGCAAAAGGAGTATTAGGTCACAAGCAGAAGGAAAAGCTGGTAGGTCATACTTGTAATTCTAGCTACTTATGTGGCTGAAATCATGGTTCAACGCCAGCCCAGGCAGGAAAGTTCTTGAGACTCTTTATCTCCAATTAACCAATAAAAGCTAGAGTTGTGGCTCAAGTGGTAAGACACTATCCTTGAGCACTAAAGCTCAGGGACAGGACCCTAGTCTTGAGTTCAAGCCCCAGTACCAGCACAAAAAGAAGGAGGAGGAGGAGAAGGAGGAGGAGAAAACATTCGATTCATGCACTCCAATATTATACTTCCCTGCAGGACAGTATAAACCTGCCATTGCTCACCGAGATCTGAGCAGTCAAAATGTGCTTATTCGGGACGATAGGTCATGTGTCATTGGAGATCTGGGCCTTGCCTTGATGCTCCCTGGCCTCACTCAGCCTCCTGCCTGGGTCCCTACTCAGCCCCGAGGCCCAGCTGCCATCATGGAGGTGAGTATTCTGGATAAGGGTGAGGTCCTGGTGGTTGTTGGTGATGCCAATGCAACCTTTTTAGTTTTGACAATATAGACAGGCCTGCCTGCAGTACTTAATATATTGCTGAGTCTATAGTTAGGGGAATGTTGTATAGACCAGGGCTGCAGAAAAGATTGCTATAGAGATCATTCTTGACCCTCCCCACCTCACTTTCCAGGCTGGCACCCAGAGGTACATGGCACCAGAACTCTTGGACAAGACTCTAGACCTACAGGATTGGGGCACAGCCCTCCGGCAAGCAGATGTTTACTCTCTGGCTCTGCTTCTGTGGGAGATTTTGAGCCGCTGCCCAGATTTGAGGCCTGGTAAAGTCCCCATACTTGCTGCCCTACCTGTGCCATTCTAGGTTCACCTACCTCCTGACCTAGTTCCAGAAAAGTATGACCTTCTTCCTGACTTTTCTACATAGGAGCCACCCTCAGGATAAGCTGACACCCAGTCCCTATACCTTCCCCAGACAGCAGACCACCACCCTTCCAACTGGCATATGAAGCAGAACTGGGCAGTACCCCTGGAACTTGTGAACTCTGGGCCTTGGCAGTAGAAGAGAGGAGGCGCCCCTACATTCCACCCACCTGGAACTACTTTGCCACAGTAAGGGGCCACAGGCTGGCTGATTGGGCCTTATTGAGTACTGTCTGGGAAAGGGCTTTAAGAACTTCTCTGCCAAGGTCTTTCTACTCTGTCTCCTCTCCTTTCTCATTATTCCCTGGTTCATGTTCAGCTGTAGTTGGACAAAAATACTGGTGTTTAGTTTACTCATCTGTTTTGTTTTGCACCAGTTTGGGGCTTGAACACAGGGTCTGGGCACTGTCCCTTAGTTTTTTTTTTTTTGTCAGTTATAGGGCTTGAGCTCAAGACCAGGGTGCTATCCCTAAGCTTTTCTGCTCAAGGCTAGTACTTTACTACTTTGAGCCACAGCTCTACTTTCAGTTTTCTGGTGATTAATTGGGAGATCGTCTCACAGACATTTGTGCAAATATTGAACCAAGGTCCTCAGATTGCGGCTTCCTGCGTAGCTAATATTATGGGTGTGAGTCACCAGCACCTGGCAAGGGTCTGTGTTCTTGATCAACTTTTTTGCTAATGGTTGGTGTTCTACCACTTGAGCCACACCTTTGCTTCTGGTTTTTGGCTAGTTAGTTGGAAATATGAGTCTCTTGGATTTTTCTGGCCAGCCTAGCTACAAACCTCAAAACTCAGTTCTCAGCTTCCTGAGTATATAGGATTATAAGTATGAACACTGGTGCCCACTGAGTTCGATGTTTTCTCCCCTAAATCTCACACAATCCTTCTGTCTGAGACACATAGCTTCCTGCTGGAGCTTGCCCAGGCCTTGTTTTCTCTCCATCGGTTAGCCTTGTTTCTCAGTCTTCTCCAGGAAGCCCTGATTTTGCCCCCAAGTTAGAACATCTTCTAGAACCTAAAATTCATACTTATTCTGTCTTATATATCCATATTTCTACTGTGATCCAGAGCAGGGGCTCAGATTAAGGATTAGAATAGTGAAATAAAGGATTAGAGCAGTGGAAGCTCAGTCCCTCACAAATGATTCCCTAATGGGAGACTCGATCTTCTGCTGTCTGGCCCGAAATTTTTATAATACACGTAGAGATTTATTGGTTTAGAAAATAGAAGGCAGGCTTTGTCTACTGAAGATCTCCATTGCCTGAGGAAAAGGAAAGTAACTTTCTATTAGCATGTTGTCAGCCTAAATTAGCAACACAGAGGAAAATGTAGATCCCACAGGAAGCACCCAGGGAGACTCTCTCATAGGGAACAAGTCTCAGAGGGCTAGACTTTAGTGAGGGGCAGGAGGAGACTCCAGAAAGGATCAGTAGTGCTGAAAACAAAAAACAGGAGTGGATAGCCTAGATGTGGACCTCAGTGGTGGTCGAACAAATGCTTAAAATTTAAAGGCTATTAGCCCGGTGCCTGTGGCTCAAGCCTGTAATCCTAGCTACTCAGGAGGCTGAGATCTGAGGATCAAGGTTCAAAGCCAGCCCGGGCAGGAAAGTCCATGAGATTCTTATCTCCAATCAACCACCAGAAAACTGGAAGTGGCACTGTGGCTCAAATGGTAGAGCGCTAGCCTTGAGCTGAAGAGCTCAGGGACAACACCCAGGCCTAGAGTTTCAGCCCCATGACTACCAACAACAAAATATTTCAAGGCTTTAGGTTAGAATCCTGTAACTGAATATGAAAAAAGAAAAGAAGCTAGTACCAGTGTCTCATACCTTTAATCCTAGCTACTCAGGAGGCTGGGATCTGAGGGTCAAAGTTCAAAGCTAGCGCTAGCAGAAGAATTTGTGAGACTCATCTCTAATTACCAACATAAAAGCTAGAAGTGGAGCTGTGGCTCAAATGGCAGAGTGCCACTCTGAGCTAACAAACTTAGGGACAGTTCTCAGGCCATCAGTTCAAACTCCAGAAGAGAAAGAAAAATAGAAGCAGTGAATGCTTTTCCTTTTTTTTGTTTTTTCCGGTCGTGGGGCTTGAACTCTGGACTTGGGTGCTGTCCCTGTGCTCTTCAGCTCAAGGTGAGCGTTATACCACTTGAGTCACAGCGCCATTTACGGTTTTCTAGTGGTTTATTGGAGATAAGAGTCTCATGGACTTTCCTGCATGGGCTGGCTTTGAACCATGATCCTCAGATCTCAGCCTGCTGAGTAGCTAGGATTACAGGTGTGAGCCACCGGCGCCCGGCCAGTGAGTGCTTTTCAATCCTGGGGTCCATTCAAGATCTCAATGTCAAACCTGTGTCCTGGTCATTCCTTCCAGGACCTGAGTGGTCTGAGGGAGCTTTTGGAAGATTGTTGGGATGCAGACCCAGAAGCACGTCTTACTGCTGAGTGTGTACAGCAACGTCTGGCAGCCTTGGATCATCCTCAGGAGCTCCACTCCTTCGCAGAGGATTGTCTACACAGCTGTCCAGCTCTCTGTCCAGAAGACTGTTCCTCATTACCTGCTTCTACCATTCTCCCCTGTAGGCCTCAGCTGAGTGCCTGCCACTGTGCTGTTCAGCAAGGCCCTAGCTCTAGAAATCTTCAGCCTGCTAATTCCAGCTCTCATGTGTAAACAAGAAATTTATATGGAATCTATGTACATGCAAACATAAATTTGCTGATCATATACCTGTTTGATCTGCCTTCCTCTGTCTTTCCTACTTGCTGAATCCTTAAGTTTTACTGTGGACATGTATGCCACGGTGGTTCTAATAAATTAGGGGGGCTGGGAAGGTGGCTCAGTGGTAGAGTGCTAGCTTCGCATACATGAGGCCCTGGGTTCAATTCCTCAGCACCACATAAGTGGAAAAAGCTGGAAGTGGCGCTATGGCTCAAGTGGTAGAGTGCTAGCCTTGAGCTGAAGAGCCGAGGGACAGCGCACAGGCCCAGAGTTCAGGCCCTATGACTGACAAAAACAAAAACAAATAAATTAGGGTAAACATACACAGGGAAGAGGATACAATCAGTTTTCCTTACTCTGGTCCTAGGCCTTCTTCCATTTCTGTGACTCTAGCTACTCTCTCCCTTTCTCTGCTTTTCTGCCAGCATTTTTATTTATATATTGGGTCTTGAATTGAGGACCTCCTTGCTCTTTTTCTCAGAGCTGGTACTATACCACTTGACCCACATCTCCAATTTCTTTCTTTTCTTTTTGTTTGGTATTAGTCCATCCTGGTGCTTGAACCCAGGTCTGGATAAGGTTGCTGAGTTTTGTTTTTTTTTT